TTTTGGATCTCAATCGTATTAGATGTCTACAGTCAAAATGTTAATTTTGACTATTTTTGTTGCGCAGTAATAAAAATGTGTTCAGACTGGTGGCTTTTTGAAGTGAAGGTGAGTTCTCAAGGGAGAATTTAATGGTAGTTAAATGGTCATTTCCACTATTCAAAGGGCTCAGCAACTGAGAACATTCTGCTTCCTAGATTTTTTAACCACTTTAAAACTAATTAGCCTGCTTTATTCCCTCAATTTATCATAGTCTGTTCAGCTGTTCATTCAGCCAATGCATACTTAGCATGTACATAGGCCAAGCCAGGCCTTGTGTAGGTGCTGGGTATTCAAATAAAAGAAATTTTCTCAGATAGTATTGACTTGATTTCACTCCCAGATTAATTACTACAATAGTATCCTATTGGTCCTGGGATTTGAAATCCGATGAGAGTGCTCCATTTACTGGTCCTAGGGCACTAGGCATATTACCTTACCTCTCTTGTCTTTAGTTTTCTCCTTCATGAAATAATGGCAATAATGTTATCAAACTTAAAGCCTTCTTGTTAGTAACAACCTTTCTTGTTAGAAAGTCTTGGTTAAATATTAAGTTTAAAAGAAGGGACAGATGAGTGTTTTTAGGGGAATAAGGTATATAAATCCTGATTATATCCTTATGAGTCTCTTTGATTCTATACCACATACTGCATGCATGTGGAAGCCAATAAAACATACCAGTGCTTTGGTAAGTTATCTCATTTAAATTTCTACAGGAGGGCAGGTAAAGGGAAATAATAGAGACTTTATCTTGATTTTCTTCTCTGAAATTAGCAGAGGCTTCTATGAGAATCTTGTCTTACTGTCTGGCTAAAGCTTCCACAAAGAGAACAAAAGTTAAGAATGTTTGGAGAGAAATACTTTTTGTTTTAGTCTCCTACATTATAGAAATTATCTCGATCGCCTTTTAATAGGGTTTTAAACCTTAAGTTATTTACAGATTTAAAGGAAACCTAACATTTTTAAGTGCTTGCTCTTCCTCAAGTTTCGAGCATGGCATTATACATGTATTATGTCCCATAGTTCTTGCAGGGTACTGGTGTGGGGGAGGTTATTTTGCCTGGCTTAGCAAACAAACAGGCCTCGGGAAACGGACCAACTGGCCCTAGAGCACAGAGTTAGTAAGTGGCCTGGGCCTGGGTCCACATCCGGGGGTTATTCCCGTTTGTCATCCTGCCTCTTGGTAAGGAGCTCTCACTCAAAGTGAGAAAAGGAAGGGGATTTTAAAAAATTGAATTATGGACGCTCAGTTGTTGTTTCCAGTTCCTCCAAAGATACAGCGTGGCCCTAAACTTCTGAAAGTCCAAGTTGGCCAAAGAGCGGACATTCCGTGCAATGCTCAGGGGACGCCTCTTCCTGTAATCACCTGGTTTAAAGGTGGAAGCGCCGTGCTGGTTGATGGAGTCCAGCATGTTAGCCATCCAGGTGGAATGTTAAGCATCAGCCAAGCCATGCTCTCAGATGCCGGAGCGTACACATGTGTTGCTGCTAACATAGCAGGCAGCGATGAAACGGAGATAACACTCCACGTCCAAGGTGATTTGGGGCATAGGGAGATAGATGTATGGTGGGGGTTGGGAGTGGGAGAAAATGGCTGGAGACTATGTACAAAATACATAGTCCTGGATAGTCTTGGGTCACTTTCAGAAGATTTCTGTATAAGACTCTTTACTCAGCTTTGAAAGGAGAACCATTCTAGAAAGAAATGAAATCCTGCCATTACTACACCGGCCTCCATATTTGTATGTTTACCTTTGAAAGTGAAATTGCCATGAATGATATAGATGATGGCATCAATCCCAGATCACTGCCCCACCCACTGTCTTTGGTTTGGGAAAAATTTGGGGCAGAGAGTTGGAATAGGATTTCTCCTGATAGTGGTAGGGTGCACTCAATATTGGTCCCTAGGAAATCTAGTTCCAAGGTTCGCTGTAATGATATTGGCCTTGTTTAGAGGGATTAATTGTTCCTTCACGCTACAAATATTTGTCTAGCTCCTACCAAGTGTCTGTCCTGTTCTTGGCAGTGAGGAGAAAGTCGTGACAAAGGCAAAGCACCTGCTTTTGTGAGCTGTTCCACTGTGAATAGGCAGAGAGCAAGCAAACAAATAAATAAAAATATGGATCATATACAAATAAGTGCTGGGTGGAAAATTAAAATAGGGGGATGCTCCTAGCAATTGACTATGTTAGGTTGGATTGTTAGTTAGGACTCCTGTGAGGAGGTGATATTTAGGGTGCGAACTTATTGACTCTAAGGAACCAGCCGTGTGGAAATCAGGGAGAAGAACATTCCTGGTCAGGGAGAATACCAATGCAAAGGCAAGAAGGAAAGATAAGTAGGTATCCAACTCAGCATGGTACTTTTGTGCAAGTCTGAGATAATACATTTATTTTTCTATTAGAACCACCTACACTGGAAGATCTGGAACCTCCATATAACACCCCATTCCAAGAAAGAGTGGCCAATCAGCGCATTGCATTCCCATGTCCTGCAAAAGGTGTGTAATACCCAGACATATGGGCATTGGCATAATGTCATATTTTTCCTTCTACACTGAGCCCACATCAATTCATAAAATCCCACTTGAGAGTTCTTGTTATAATAGCTGGGCATAATAGAAACTAATCCCTATTTCAAATAACAGCTATTTGAATAGGTGTTTTTTCTTCAATGAAAAGACCTTCTGCTCCTTCAAACTTGCCTCATCTAGTATGTCTTCCATATCATTCATGCTCTTTCCCATTACTTCTCATCTCTATTCTATCAGGCTTATTTAAAATATGAATTATAAAGCATCATTTTATTACATCACTTATGCAGTCTGTTTGGTTGGGCAATCTTCGTGTTTATTCCTTTGATAGTATCTTATTTCCCCTCTTCCTTTATTTTTAGCCAAAAACTCCTCATATATCTAGACCAGTGATGGCGAACCTATGACACGCATGTCAGAGGTGACACTCAAACTCACTTTTTTGGTTGATTTTTCTTTGTTAAATGGCATTTAAATATATAAAATAAATATCAAAAATATAAGTCTTTGTTTTACTATGGTTGCAAGTATCAAAAAATTTCTATATGTGACACGGCATCAGAGTTAAGTTAGGGTTTTTCAAAATGCTGACACACCAAGCTCAAAAGGTTCGCCATCACTGATCTAGACTATTTGATTAATATAGTTTTTCCCAGTGAGCACCATGATTCACAAGAAAATGCTTTTCTTTTATTACTGTCGTCTGGATGTCTTGATAAAATTAACTTTGATCAAACTCTACACTAGAGATCATAGGTCTCTTAAGACTAATCAGGAGTTAGAGGTACCCATGCCAGGGGAAATTATCTTGAAAGTAGCATATACATTAGGGTGCAAATTATTTCCTCCTCGTATACTGGATCTTTAATAATGATTTCTAATGTTGTTGTAAAATATCACGAGGCTTTAATTCCTTTTGTAGGTACTCCCAAACCAACCATCAAATGGTTACGGAATGGCAGAGAGCTGACAGGCAGAGAGCCTGGTATTTCTGTCTTGGACGAAGGCACAATGTTGGTTATTGCTTCTGTTACACCGTATGACAATGGGGAGTACATCTGTGTAGTAGTCAATGAAGCTGGGACCACAGAAAAAAAATATAACCTCAAAGTCCATGGTAAATACAGATAAAAATGCTAACATCACAAAATTGAATATGTGACATTTTCAAATTATTATATGTTATACTCTCAGTGTAGTATTATGTAATGTGAATAGAAATGTTATCATTCAAAACTGGTGATCTGATTGTATTTATTGACCGATTTGATTAAAACTTCGTGTAATTTTTTATTGTGACTTTAATATTTTTTTAAATTTTTATTGAATTTATTGGGGTGACATTGGTTAATAAAATAATACAAGTTTCAGGTGTACAACTCTATAAAACATCATCTGTATATTGTATTGTGCATTTTCCACCCCAAGTCAAGTCTCCTTCCATCACCATTTATCCCCTTTTACCCTCTTCTACCTTCCCCCACCCATCTTTCCCTCCGATAATCACCTACCGTTGTCTGTGTCTATGAGTTTGTTTTTTATTTGTTTAATCACTTCACCTATATCATTCAAAATTCAAATGGTAGAAAAGTATATATAGTCAAAAGTATCATGATCAGGAGCTGAGTCATCTGCTAATCCTCCCTAGGGCCAAAGAAAGTCATTAGCTTTATATTTATGTGTGTGTATCTTCCCAGAGATATTTATACATATGCAAAGAAATATATATACATTTTTTATCCTCGTTTTATTTTATTTTAATTTTTGATTAATCCTCACCTGAGGATATTTTCCCCATCAAGTTCTAGAAAGACTGGAAGGGAGGGAAGGGAGGAGAGAGAGAAAG